AAAATATCCAGGTCTAGTGTATGTTCTGGTTTCTATGTAAATTAGAAGGTTTTACAGGGAAAAAAAGGCCAGGGATGATCCTTTCCAAACATTTTCAGATTCGTTGTCCATTAATTCAACTGATTCTCACTCAATTTTACTCTATTTACACTTATATTTTTCTCAATAAGTTGTATCAGTCAAGGTAGAAATAGACACAGCATTAGTTAGTAAGTACACTCTATGTTGCCTTACAAACTAACAGAAAGTTTAAAATTTTGACTTATTGGGACAACCATGGAGACTAAGGGGAAAATAATTCAACAATAATTGTCCAAACTTGGAAATAGAAGCAGTGCCATAGCATTCTGTAATGGCACCTGTGCTCCCGGTTGGGGGGGGGGGGTGGTTTATAAACCCGAGAATCAATCATATGGAGGAGAGTTAAGTATCAGAATCCTGGGGGTAACTGGGAGTTCTGCACAAACCCAGAGGGAGCCTTCCCTTTCCCTTTCCCTTTCCCTTTCCCTTGCCCTTTCCCTTGCCCTTTCCCTTGCCCTTTCTTGATTTGAGAGAGAGAGAGAGAGTCAAAGAGAGAAGAGAGGGAGAAACATGGATTTGTTGTTCCACTTATTTATGCATCATTGTTTGACTCCTATATGTGCCCTGACTAGAGATCGAACCCTCAACCCTGGCACATGAGGACAATGCTCCAACCAGCCAAGCTACCTGGCCTGGAAGAGGGAGTGCTTCTTACTCTAAATCTTGACATGTTGGTTCCTATGTTCCATCTTGCTCTGCGACTACATCCTGCCAGCTCACGCCCATGCCCCAGTAAGCACGGGCCTTCCCGCTCAAGTACAAATTACACCTAGAACCTAAATTACACCACATCTGCAGACCCATTGCTGGTCCATTTGGCATCTGAGGTCCGTGGACTACCTTTGACACACCTTTGTCATTGTCCCAACACTTAGCACTGATTCTGAGAGCACTGACTTCTCTCATATGGACTAGAGTCTCGCCCAGTCCACTTGGCCCCAGGACAGGACCCCTGGAGCAGCTCTTCATAAGCAGTAAACCCCCTCAAGTCTCCTCGGGGACCTCCTCCCGCCGATGAGACCCAAACATATCCTCTCTGGCCTGAATGCAAGCCTTGTTTCTATCCAGCCAAACTTCACTGACTTTTTAAAAACCTTAACTGTACTTGGGATGGTTGACATTTAAAGCAGTTTGATTAGAATCTTTGCACTTGAAATTTATTTTGACAAGAAAATGGGCACTAATGTGACTTAGTCCTGATTTATCAAAAGAAAAATGGTAGCAAAAGTCTTACGGGGACCATAGCAACAGTGAGCTCTGAAACTCCATGGCTACGATAGTCGGCTCATGTGTGGAGCCTGTTTGGGAGGAGGGATTGAGAGCAGTGGAGATATGGTGACACGAGGAACCTGGAGACCCGTGTCCTTCCTCTGTCTGTCCTGTCTCTCTCTACCTATTGCTGTGGCCCTTGGTTGAGGACCTTCCCCTCTGCCTTTCTGGCCTCAACTTCATGTAGTGATTTAGATCAGATGATCTCTAAAGTGGCATCTACTTCTGAAAAGACTATTAATTTATGGCAGATTTAAAAATCAGCAATCCAGTGGAAAATAAACTGAGATGACCCCTTCAGGAGTGGAACTAGTGAGAAACACGGCCGAGTTGAGCAGGGGCGTGAGCTCCTCCGTTATTCCTGAGTGGGCTGAGCAGGAGCTTAAAACCAGACACTGAGGCCTCGACAGTGAAGTGGGGATATAAAACCCGGGAACTGTTTGTCATAAAGAGCGCCATGCCCAATAAAAGCCAAAGCAGATGTTCGCATAAAGTTTTGCTGTTGTGTTTTAGTGGGGGTACTTTCAGGGTGTGACGTTTATCAGTGAGACACAGCACTATCTGCCTACCCCCTTTGCCATATATCAGCAGTCTCACCGTCGGTGTATAGGGCTGGAATTATTTTTGTTAATGATTTTCATGGGAGTAGATGAAATGCAATGTGCACCAGCTGTAACTTCGTTTATCATGCAGCTGCCTTCCCGGGAAGGCCCCCAGACTCACTGCCAGCCTGATTGTCAAAGAGCTTACTGTCTTGCAGAGTTTTTAAAGACACAGGGGGTTGCATTAGTTTCTTATTCCAGCTGTTTCAAATAATGACAACTTAGTGGCTTAAAACAACACAAAGTTATTGTCTTACAGTTCTGGACGTGAGAAATCTGAAATGAGTTTTGCGGAGTTAAAATCAGTGTCAGCTGGCCATTCTTCCTTCTGGAAGCTCGCAGAGGTGTCCATCCTTTTGGCATCTCTGGACCACACTGGAAGAAGAAGAGCTGTCTTGGGTGATACATTAAGTACATTATGACATGTAATCACAAAAAAATCTCATAAAATTTTAAGTAAATTTACAATTTTAGGTTGGGCTGCGTTCACAGCCATCCTGGGATGGTCGGACACCCCTGCTCTAGGGGAACGATCTGTGTGTGGCTTCTTTGTCCATTCCAGCTTCTAGAGGCCACCTGCATCTTCCCTGTGTCCCCTGCCCCCATCTTCGCATCCCGTGTCTCCTGTCCTCTCTGACCTCTCTCTTCATCCTTAACTCTTTTCTCTGTATCTCTCACCTCCCTTTTAAAAATAAAAAAGACCCTTGTGATTATATTGGACCCACCCAAATAATCCAGGATAATCTCTCATCTCAAGATCCCTAACTTAATCATTTCCACAGAGTACGTTTGGCTGCCAAGGTAACACTCACAGGTTCTGGAGTTCAGGCGTGGGCCACTCTGAAGGGGAGCTGTTATTCAGCCTACCACAGGGGCTACAGAGAGCAAGCAAGGCCTCAGGGACCAACGACTTCTCCGCAGTCACACAGCTGGTTTGTGGCAGTGCTGTGACTGCATTGTCCCCGCATCCCCACATTTGCACGCTTTACGGGCATCACCGACAATCAGGGGCGGGAGCACATGCAGATGGACATTTTTATTTTCATAATAAACTTGAGATGATTAAGGAATAAGTATAGAATTAAGTCCGTGATTTTCATAGAGCAGCTTAGAGAAGACAGACATTCATATACATATTTTAAAATAAAATTTTAATGCAATACTTTTCTTTGTTATTATAATTTTTCTAGGCTGTGGTACCTTCTAAGGATGTTAAGTGACTTCGAAAGATGTTAACCGACTTGCAGTGATATCATAGCTTAAGTGAGGATGGGACATGAGAGTGCCACGGAAACACATGTTTATATTCTTTCTACTCTTCCCTCCACTCCTTCTTCTCTTCCTCCCTCCGTAACTCCTGCCCTTGCTGCCATTTTGAAAACCAGTTATGACTGGAAAGCCAATTCAAACTCTTTCAACTAAAGGGAATAAAGCCACCAGAGGCTTATTAAGATGGATTAAACCAATTTAGGTGTTTGCCACTTTTCACAATGAAGCCCAGAGTTTGGCATGAGCAACTTGTTTTTAATTTTTCTCTCCACTTCTGCTCCACAGTTGCCTGTAACAAATAAAAAGGTCATAGAGTTTTGGATGTAGATGGGATTAGTCCAATTCTTTTCATGAATTATGGGTCTCTTACATAGTATCTTTAGCAAGTGTTTGCCAGACCCCTCTCCTGCCTTAGTTTTTTCCATCTATGGCATGGTGGGAAAGATAACTGGGGCCAATTAAAGGCCTTATTAAGTTTGAGTTCCTGAGAGGAAGGTACATTGGCGAAGGTTGTGATTTGGTTGTTAAGCCCATGTTCGGGAGGAATCGGTCCACTGCTGCAGGGTGCGGTACCTCTCATTTAGAGGCTGGTAAACCCTTGACCTGACCTCACATCTCTACCCGCTGTGTGACCATTGTTCTTCTGTGTATCTGCCTTCCTCACGATTCAACACAGCCCAGGGCTGGACATGTGATGCAATTTAACTGTCCTGCTGATGCATGCTGTGGGTGGATGAATGAATGATGGTTATATAATTTCAAGGGCATGTGGAGAACATACAGGCCCAGGGCCTCAGTGGAGATATTGAGAGGCACTAGAAAAGGCTGAAGACGTGTCTCTGATCTTCACTGACATACCATATTTTGCCACATATAATGTGTATTTTTTTACCCAAATTTCTGAGGAAAAGATGAGGATGCGAATTATACATTGGTATAATGATCACATAATCCCATATATGGTGAGCACAAAAATGTGGGTACACATCATACATGGAGTAATGCAGTAATATTATTAATAAATTGGCTTACCCCTGCTCTGCCACCTTTCTTAAACAAGATAAAGTTGGACTGGAAATCGCCATTGAAATTTATTTTCATAGATGTTTTAATGTGACACTGAAGATGAGTAGACAGTTTCCTTTTGGATGTTTGTACTCACACTCAAGGCCATTTTTTTCTGCCTACCAAATGAAGAAGTTCTTTAGCCGCTGGTGCATCAGGTTAGTGACACAGTGCTGGGCTAAACAAAGTCAAGTTGCCAAGCTCCTGTCTAGCATTGATTGAGGCTCATAAAAATAATTCATTCCCTCATTTTGATCTTGACAACCCCCAGAATATCAACTTATATGTATCAAATGCCACTTTCTGTTATATAGGACAAGGTCGATTCTCACAGTATTCCTGCCCAGTGGGAAACCAGAGCATCAGCTCAAGACCTGCTAAGTATTTGGTGTACCTGAGACATGTTATAAGGTTGGACTGTGCCACCTTCCCACTGAGGCATCAGTGTTAACTGTACCCATCAAAGAGGCCATCAAGATGAACAGGTCTGAAATGAGAAAATCTGATCTTAAAAATTAGAGATATTCGTCCTAATCTGAATATTCGTGACTTAATATTCAGGCCCAGAAAATACCTTTGCAATACCCAATGATCTCCGTGGATGGGAAATGTTGGGGGACTCTTTGATTTTACCGCTTCTGTACCATAGTTCTTTCTATGTTGTCTCCCCAACCCTCTACCCAGCCTAATTCTACAATTTCTTTTTGTTTCTAGTTCCTTCTTTCTGGGGATTGGTGAACTCAGCTTGGAATCTTTGCTCTGTGGGGAAACGGCAGTCGCCGGTCAACATAGAGACCAGCCACATGATCTTCGACCCCTTTCTGACGTCCCTTCGCATCAACACGGGGGGCAGGAAGGTAAGCAGCCATGTTGCCTCCATTGTGAAGTTGAGGGGCGGGGTGTGGCAATGCTGCTTCTGAAAGCCAATCCTCCCAGCCTTGATCTCTGTGATTGGGTTTTCTTCTCACCTAGGAATAATCCCACAGAGCCCAGGCCTACTGCCAGTACATAGAATTATGTCTAAATTGTGCTTTTTCTCCCAACCTACTCAAACCCTCGTGTTTCTAATTACTTTACACTCCCTGGAGGTTGCCTGGGGTTCTATCCCTTGGTCCCCCATGAAGGTCAGTACGTACACGGAGTTGCCTTGTCTGCAGATCATGCTGGGAAAATCCTTTTTCCCCAAAACCTCTTTACTGGGGCTTCTTTTGACCTGAACCAAGTGAAAATAAAATTTTGAATAAGGAAAATCAGATGTTTATCATCCTAGGAAGAAAACAAACAAATATCACCCTAGATGATTTATAAGAAAATCAGTAATTCATCTTCCTTGAGTGACCTTGCTGGCTAAGAATCCTAACTGCTGCACGGAAATGCTGAGTTGTGCTGTGTGGTTCCCACACCAGCATCCCTCTCCTCCCCCTCCTCCCCGCTCCTGCCCTCATGCTGGGCTCCTCCTTAATTTGGGGAAGGGCATAACGTTATGCCCATGGGGTTTTCTCATCGCTGGAATCTAGCCTTTCTCTTGCTGGTTCATTTCTATTTGACAACCTTTTACTGTTGAGTAGATTGTTGGAAGTGGGAAAAAACACACACAGAGAAAATTGTATTTGAAGGTGATGTAGCTATTGGGAACTCAAGAGGAATGGAAAATCATTCGTGAGCAAGACGTTGGGCTCACAATTATGGACCATTTCTGTTCCTGCTGGCCGCTGGTTCTCCAGGGCGTGGGTTCCTAGGGCTCTGCTCTCCCCTCCTTTACGCAGTCTGTTCACCTTCCTTACCACGGAGTTTGTAAGTAATTGGTTTTCTTCGGATATATTGGAATATATATTTTTTTCTATCACATAACCATCACCAAAAAAGAAAAGAAAGGAAAACCTAATGACTAACCAAAATGTTAGTAACTTTGACTCAGATCACAAGGCAGGCAGTAACAGACCTTGCACGTGACCAAGGCTGTTGAGCGGTGGAGTAGTTGTGCGCCACTTTAAATATAACTTGGGAAGCATTTCCGTAGCAACACCCTATCTGGCTGATGTAGCTCATTGCTCTGATTCAAGGGCAAACAAGCCAGGCCTAATTACTGTTCGGATCATTTTTATGGACCATGAAAGGAACTTCTTGTAGGTTCTACATACGCTGCTCTCCAAAAAGGGGAATCATTCGAGTCAAGTCACGATGGATAAGTTCACTGACCAGTATTTAAGAAGGGCAAGCTTCAGTTTTAACTAAATACTCAATGATTGTTTCTTTCTTGGGGGAGGGGAGGCTGATGGAGGGAATAATTGTATTACAAAAAAAGGGGAAAGCCCAAAGCAGAATGAGGGCTGATAACTGACTTGCAGACATTGTTGGAAAGATGGGCAGCCAGGCTGACGCACGGAGACCCGAGAGGAGGCGGTGGGGACCTAAGGATGCGGGAGGAGGGCAGAGTCTGGACCCCAAGGCTGTGTTAAGGGAGTAGGTTCTTTTCCTACTTGTGTAGGGAACAAGTGTTTCAAGTGTTTTTAGATAAAACATATGGTACGCTAAGAGTGGGATGGAAAGGTGACAAGCTACCAAAAATAATGGATATATAATTCCCTTTTTTCAGTAGACTATCTTAGAGGAAAATGTTGATATGAAAGGACAAACACCTCATTTTAAGACAGCTTTTCTCTAAAATGTATTGGGGAAGTAGGGACTGAGAGACAGCCTGGTGGTAAAAATCATTCTCATGTTGTTTTGTTTTGATGTTTTTGGTTGTTGACAAGGGTTTTGGGTTTTTTTAAATTTTTGATTCCATAAAGTGTACCTGATCCAAGTCAATTTTCAAACGCAATGGAGTTTGGAATTTTGGAAACATTTACTTTAAACAATGTAAATATTTATATCTGGCACGATTTGTGTTGTCAGCGGTTTGAAGAGCTGAGAGCTGTCTGATGGGTCCCTTTGCATTCGTGAAAGGTGGGAAAGAAAACATAGAAGGTCGTAGGAGGAAATAACTGGTAATGAAATGCCTAAACCTGATGGACAATAGCAAAAACGTGTTGGCGAGCCGTTTGAAAGGTGACTTTTAATGAGTCGGAGACTTATTTGGGAAGTGAAGATTCAGATCACTGCTCTTAATTTAGTTTTGCCTTGAAGGAAATGTGTATCCAACTCAAAAGGCTTTAAAAAAAAAAAAAAAAACTTCTGCAAGACTGGGAGGCTTCAGCCCTGGCTGGCGTAGCTCAGTGGATTGAGCTCAGGCTGCGAACCAAAGTGCTGCAGGTTCGATTCCCAGTCAGGGCACATGCCTGGGTTGCAGGCCATAACCCCCAGCAACCACACATTGATGTTTCTCTCTCTCCCTCTTTCTCCCTCTCTTCCCTCTCTAAAAATAAATAAATAAAATCTTAAAAAAAAAAAAGACTGGGAGGCTTTATAGGATTTGGGCAAGATGGCACATTTTAAAGTCTGGGATCAGCTAGGTATCAGCATGCTGAATACATCCCAGTCATCTCTGTGTTTTATGTCGCATTTTTACGCATGAACATATTCGTTGCTATGTTGAAATGTTTCTTATTTACAAACCCATGAAGCAGCTCTGCTGCAGCCCCCGACTTGTGTTGCTGAGTTTGTTTTAACGTGTCTGACCTGGCACGGGCAGGGAGGACGAATTGATGGCTGTTCTTAGCAGGAGCAAGGGCTGAAATTCAGCCCAAGTGCAAGAATTCAAAGAATAATAATAGTTAAACGAGAATCAAAAAATGTTGTGTCTCGGGTATAATAGAGGACATTCATTTTATTTGAGTAATGAGATTTCTTTTCCTTTTAAGTCGCTTATTTTCAATGGCAGTTTTTAAGCGGTGTTCATTTTTTTTTCTCAAAGAAAAGTTATTTTGTATCCAGTTCATGTCTGACATATAGGACTCTTACAGCAAAAATCCAAAATAACTGTACGCTGCAAACAATACTCTCTTAGAGTTGGGTTGCATGTGGATATAAGATTCTGTCTTGGAACCAGTCTCCCACTCTTGGCACCATTAAACTTAACTTCCAGTAGTCTAAGTATTTTTTAAGTCATGGGTCTAATTAATCTATTCTAGATAAAGCTTCTAAATCAACTCAGGAATCAAAAAGGGAGCAGGTGGAGATACTTCTTCCTTCACGATCTCAGTTCATTGCAAGTTTCTCTCTACGTGAAATTGGATTATCACGTAACTGGAGTTTTAAGCCCAGTTTCAGCCTGTTTTAAAGATACAGATTTTTGTTAGTGATTGAGCTTGTACAGATATACATGTATTTTGACTTTCCTTGTCTTTTTCTTCAGACCAAAGTGAGTATACATAACATGTTTGTGTATGAATTTTCATGTGCAGTTCACATAAGTAAGCTTCTTAGTGATTTGAAAATAACATTTAGGATGAGAATGTTATTTCACAGCAAAATATGGGTAGTCTCACTTGATGATTTGGGGTACAGTAATTCCTCTAGGTAGTTGCCTGCAGCATTCCTGATACAGGTGGGTGCTTGAGGGTTGCAGGTTAACAGGTAAGTTTCACTTTCATGGAGGTGATGTGGTCCATAGATAAACTCTCTGTTGATCTAAGATATGTAAAAGGAGAAAAAAACATATTGACACTGAGTCTAATATCACTTGCTGATTCTACTGTTTTAGCCAAAAATTAGTTTTGGCTTCCTTCCTCATCTTGTGGCTCTTTTAAGAAAATGAACATCTCAGTAGTTAATGACTTGGAAATTGCTGATGATGTGTTAACTAAAATCAACCACTTAATATTAGTGATGGTATGGATGGACCAGGAGGTATCATGCTAAGTGAAATAAGTCAGACAGAGAAAGACAAATGCCATACAATTTCATCTATATGCACAGTTTAAAGAACAAAATAAATGAACAAACAAAATACAAACAGACTCATAGACACAGAGAACAGACTGATGGTTGCCAGGGGGAGTGGGCTAGGGCGGCTGAATGAAAAAGGTGATGGGATCAAGGACAGACTGGAAGTATCTCGCCTTTCCCCCAAGATCTGTGATAGGTACTTTGGCCACAGCACACTCGTCACCTGACATGCCTCCTTTTTATGATGCAACCTTCATGGCATCAGTGCTCCATCCTCCATGAAAGCCCCCTTGATCCCTTTAGCTGATGGTGAAATCTCTCTCCATTTGGCTCCTTGAGTACCTTGTTTATATTTTCTTTAGGACCTGGAACTTGGCCTGGAGTCTTACTTGCCTTCTCTCCTCCTGTCTTAGATTAAGACCTCCTCAAGACAAATGTGTTCTTACATTTTTTTTGTATCCCTAGAGATATCCATGGTCATGCTTGTTGATTTGAATTGAACCAGATTATTCTTGATTACCAAGGAAAAGGCTTTTGTGGAATTAGTCAAAAGTTGTGTTGGCTTAAGGTGGGAAAAATGCAGTAAAGTCCCATGATGAAAGAAGTAACCACGCTCTCAACAGAATCTGTCACTGGAAACTAATTTCCAGGCATTGTAGTACTTTTCCTAAAACACGGTTGAAATAACAAATTGTAAAAAAGAAAAAAAGAAGGTACGTGAATTGGTTTGTGGCTTAAAATTTTATCACTTCTCTATTTTTAAGTTTTCCTACAAACCTTGTAGCAAAATTTACTTGAGCACAATAAATCGTTGCAATTCATGGCGTGTCTACAGCAGTATGTTCTGAAAACCTTTATGAGTGAGACTTTATGTTATATTAGGGGAGAAAGTATAGAGATACAAAGGTTAAATGGTAACCAACTTTGAATCACTGTTTGAGATAATAGTAAAATAGATACTAAAGAAGCAGTGAAATGATTAATTAGCAACTCAATCAATTCGGCACTAATTTTAATGGGGGTAAGA